GTCGAAAACAAGGAAAAATTGATTTTGAAACACTGTAATTTGAGAAGAGTAATTTTTTTATTTGAACATCAGCTATTGCAAGTTAGAGAGCTGTGTCCCTTTAATTGTTTTTATCAACAGAAGCCAAAATGGCGGAATAAGAAAACCAGCTCAGTATTGAAAATTTGGGAATCCAAAATTATAGGATTGCGGGTTCGGATCCAACCTGGAATGTTTTTAATTTGCTCACGGAGTCGTTCTGATTCTATAATGGTATGATATGTTGGGCTACAGCCTCTAGAAGTAAAGTTAAAAAAGTGTGACACACTGACATTCGCATTTATTATATATTATATTCTCTCAAAACAGTTTTCGAAGTAAATAGCTTTCTCAAGATCACTCAATTATTAATGGAAGTTTCCGCCCAAACCTTTTGATAAAGTAGTTTGGAATTTCCACATCTTCAATATTGTTTTCTCTTTGAGTTATATGTGCTATCCATTTTAGTCGTTACCGCTGTTGAAAGTCTTCAACTGATGCGGTAAAGTTCTTTGCAATTATGGAGCACCAAATCTGATGAAGGATAGTTTTCTTTATATCAGCTGATTTAGTTTGTTTCAGATACACAAATGAAGCAATTACAGTCTTATAATTTAGTGCTTCCGATCTAGACATGCGATGTTCTTCAGCTTCTTCTTTATCCACCGTGTCTCTTCAAGACATAGGCAATTGTGGCTCTCCACGATTTCCTATCCTTCGTATCACTTAATAAATATTATCTTTTTGTCATTTCTCTTAAACCTTGTTCCGCCATTCACTTACTCAAGCTCATCAAGTATGTTATGCGATGTTTTCCGCTGTTCCTCTTGCCTTCAATCTTTCATGTGAGTATCATAGTTTCCAAGCCTCTTTCCTCATTAGGTTCCATAGAAATTTCAACTATCTCTTCCTGATCTTAAGTATAAGTTACCTTTCTGTTTATATTCTTTCTTAAACATCGTCGTTGCTACCTTTGCTAAAATCGCTACCAGCCTGACTTATTCACCTGGCAAGCGGACAGACGCCGCACCTTACAATTTTCTCACTGTCCAGCGGTGTTTCCTTTCACGTGACTTGATCTAATTCCAGAAAGAAGAAAAATTAAACTTCTCTCTCAGATTTGGTTTGACATACCAGATTTTTATAAAATCTCTTGTTTGCAATTATTTTTTTTTTTAAATTTATACTCTTTGAGTTTGATATTAAGGAGATGTTTTATTTCTTACTTATATTTTTCATATATTTCGCCCGCATGCATTCTTTTATTAAACTTATCTCCAGCAAAATAACATCCCTGGTTAAGAGGTTGCAAAAATGTTTTATTACGAATGAAAAACCACCATGACACAGCTGAAACCATCCTATCTCGTTCACCGATATTCTTATATAAAGAATGTCTGCACTAGTTTTATAGGTAGTGATTTATACACGATAATATTCCACAAAGCAACGAAGTACTGCTTTAATTTTGTCAGTCCGTATACCAAGAATTCTTATTTCTGTCGTTTTACAGAGTATATATACATACATATATATATATATATATATATATATATATCAATAAAAGAAATGATATATTTTATATATATATATATATATATATATATATATAAAATAAAAAAACGATATATATTATATATATATATATATATATATACTCAATAAAACGATATATATATATATATATATATATATATATATATACTAAATAAAACGATATATATTATATATATATATATATATATATATATATATATATATACTAATAAAACGATATATATTATATATATATATATATATATATATATATAATAAAACTATATATATATATATATATATATATATATATATATATATATACTTAATAAAACGATATATATTATATATATATATATATATATACTCAATAAAACGATATATATTATATATATATATATATATATATCAATAAAACGATATATATTATATATATATATATATATATTATTAATAAAACGATATATATTATATATATATATATATATACCACTCAAAAAACGATATATATTATATATATATATATATATATATATATATATATATATATATATATATATATTTGAATAAAAACAATATATATATACTCAATAAAACGATATATATATATATATATAAATAAAATATTAACGGAAATATATTTAAGCTGCCACTTATTTTCATAAACCTTGTACCGGAAGTTAGAGGAAGACATATTAACACAACGAAGAATGTCTCGATAAAGAGGAAGTATTAATAAGGTTTCTCAAAATAATTCGGATCTCGTGTGCATATTGTAGCTGTTCGCCATAAAATAAGTAGTAGTAGTTATTGTTGTTGCTGCTGTTCTTCTTGTTAGTTATTGGTCGTAAAATAAGCAATATTTGGTTTTGTTGTATTTATTCTTTTTTCTTCTTCTTTGTTGCTGGTCGTAAATTGAGAAATATTAAATGTTGTCGTTGTTGCAATTTTTCTTCTTATTTTGGCTGTTGTTGGTGGTCGCAAAATAAATAATATTAAATGTTGTGGTTGCTGTTTTTTTTCTTCTTCATTTTCGTCGTGTTTGACTTTGGTCGTAAAATCACTTATACTAGTTGTTCTTTTTCTTCTTCATCTTTTCGTTTTCTTGTTTTTTTGCTGGCCGGAAATTATTTAATATTAGATGTTGTTATTGTTGTTGCACTTTTTTTCTTCGTCTTGTTGTTGGTCGTAAAAAGTTAATATTAGTTGTTTCTCTTTTTCGTCTACTTTTTCTTCTTGTTAGTTGTTGGTCGCGTAGTAATATTAAATTTTGTTGCTATTGTTTTTGCACTCTTTCTTTTCCTTCTTCATGTTCTTGTTAGTTGTCGGTCGTAAAATAATCAATATTTGTTGTTGATGATCTTTTCTTCTTCTTCTTCTTCTGAAATTTTATAAGAAAAATGAAGTCCAACGGGTTCGTTGGAATGTTTCTCATACCTCACGAATAAACGGTGGGGAGGGGGGCTTTAAGCTTATTAAAATTTTGAAAATTAAACGACCCCCCGCACTTTACTTGACACTTCCGTTTATTAAAATTTCATGACAGCAAACAATGCATATTTTGAAAGATGAATGGTTATTGATCTTCATTGTACATTAGTCGCGTAGTATAATACTTGAGAAATCACAACACATATCCACTTACTTATGATTACATTTTAATGATCATCTACTACACAAAAAAATGCCTTCCAAAATCTTTAAGAAACAGGAACATTTTGTAAGATACAATTACTGCGCGACTGCTTTATAATATCAATCTAGTTAATGTCTTCTTTGAGATGAAGAGGAATTTTGCGGCAACAGAGATGTGGTTCTGCAGAAGGATGATGAGAATTCCATGAACTAATTTAGTTTGTTTTGTTTTACGGCATATGAACACCATTGGGTTATTTAATGCCGACAATATGTTTTTCCCTAAAAAGTGTATTGTTGATAATATTTTTCTTTTTAAAAATTGTACTGCTGGTAATAATGTCTTGCAATTTTATCTTCAAAAATGTATTTCTGGTAATAATTTTTCCAAAAAGGTATTGCTGGTTATTAAAACCTATTTTTATACTTTCATAGTGTTTTGCGTTAACTAATTTCCCATAGCTGGAACCCTAACAGGTGCTACCACCCCGGGTCAGGGTGGATCTGGGAACACCAGCAATTAAGAGGTGGTTCCACACTTCTCAAAACCTCCTGCTCAGAGGCCTTGCTATTGGATGTAGTTTATCGTCTTACCCAGGACGCGGATGTATTTTCATACCCAGGATGGACTAAATATGTATGCGACGAGGAAGTTCTAAGAAAAATGGAAAAAAAAAAAGAAAAAAAAAGGAACAAGAAAGAAACATTTTAAAATCGAAGACGGATCATTAAAACTTCTAGGACACATACTGAAGAAAGACAGGTTAGAAAATTTGACACTCACAGGATATAATGAGAGCAAGAGGGACAGGGAGAAACAGAGAGTGACCTACCTAACGAGCTTATGTAAATGAGTAAATCTTATTCATGGGGGCGGATAGTACTGATAGCAAAATGGAAGGAGAGTAAAAAGACAAACTTTGCTAAGAGTTACAAAGAATCCTGAAATGTACCAAGAGAGATCGGCCATATTTGTATTAATTTTTTTTTTAAATTATAATTTATTTTCCGAAAAAGTACCTCCACCTTTTATTTGACCTCCTCCTGTTTATTAATCTCGCGGAACCTAAAATACCTCCCTGCTCTTATTTGATACCTAGTCTTTTTTTTTATGTCTAACGAAACTAGAGAAAAATGCCAACACGTGAACAACGAATTGGGGATGTAAGCATCAGTAAAGTACAGAAGTTTCAATCACTGGGAAGGTGCACTGGATTAGCGAAAGATGCCTTTCAAAAGCTAAGGAAAGTATTAAGAAACAGGAAAATTTCGTTAGAAACAAAGAAAATAGTGCTGGATTGCTAGTTGATATCAATATCCTTTTATGGCAGTGGATGATGGACAATCTCCTCGCTGATGAAGAGAAAACTGGAGTTAACAGAAATATGGTTCTACTGAGAATTCCATGAATGGAGCGACTAAGAGATTCTTAAATAAAATGGTAACAAAAAAGACATACTCAGAATTAGAAAGTAACAGCTGAAATTGTTTCGACGCATAATGAGGAAGGAGGGCTTAGAAAATTTAATACTCACAGGATATATCGATGGTAAAAGATTTATTTTCTATGACTTATCAGCCGCTTAGAGGTTATTTAAAGCCAGAAAATATTGGAAGAAATTTTAGATAATAATGATTTAGTGATACAAGTTTTAATAATTAACCCATAGCGGGGGAGGGAAGAGATGGATTAATACCTTTGCTAAAGGTATTTGCGCGTAAGTGAATATAACGAACCAAACTCGGATTGGAACTCGGCTCTCCGATTAACAATTCCAAGACATTATCCATTACACCACCTGCAAGCTTAAAGCACCTGATATTCCCAAGCGGTCACCCATCTAGGTACTAACCAGACTCGTGGTTGCTTAACTTCTGTGATCGTACAGGAACCGGTGTTTCAACGTGATGTGGCTGTAATTTACAGTTTTAAATTCTTTGATTATAAAATAAATATAATAGGAGAACTTTGCTCTCATCAGCGTTATATCCATTATGAACAACAACTTTGGAAATTTGGCTTTTGTGGATGAAACGAAACGAATAGAACTTATTATAAGGGAAAACTGCCAACGTTAAAATGAATAGAAAGTTGGGGAGACATGATTAACCACGTTCGGATGGGACATTTTGACATAGAAGAAAAAAACTTTTTCAATTCAAGATTTGTAACAAATTTTAACGCCGAAAAACGAAGAACAATGGTAATAAACGTAAAATGTCGGCAATATTATTGGTGTATGAAATTTTAATTTGCATCCCCCGTAGAGTTTTTTAGACATTCAAATGATCAACATGTGAAAACCTGAAGAAGGTCCGAAGCAGATATAAAAATACAATCATGAAAAAAAACAAATGCAAAATTTTTAAAATCGAATTAAACTGTTAAAAAAATTAATTAAAAAAGAAAAAAATAATGAAATATATTTATACAAAAATGCTATTCATCTATCTTTTGTCTCTATCTATCTGTCTATCTATCTTCTCTATCTATTTAATTATCTATCTATCTATCTATCTCGTTTATTTATCTATCTATCTATCTATCTATCTATCTATCTATCTATCTCGTTTTTTATTCATCTATTCAAATTTCTATCTATCTATCTTTTTAAATTTTTCTTTTGTTTATTGAAATATCTATTATCTATCTATTTTTATTTTATTGTCTGTCTAAGAAAAAGGAACTTAGACAGGACATTTTAAATTGATCAGTTCAGTTCATAATTTCCTTGTAAGTTACCCGGATCTATATGCATATTGTTGAAGGGCTCAACGGCCGATATTTTCAATTTTTCAAAGGTCTCCTTATTTATTAAGTTGAAATGGCTAGAATAAAATACGTTAAATCAATGCTAACAGTTTCTCCTACTTCCGCACTTCTTTCTTGTGGAACTCTCTTCTCGCTTCTGTTTTTCCAGTTAAAATTTGATCTTCAAATATTTAAATGAAAATGCCAATCGTTATCTTCTGTTTTTAAATTCTTGTTTATTTTGCTTGAAGATACAGATATTAATTATTACTAGATTTTTTCTTTATAATCACCAACATACAGTAATCTCTTGTGTCCTAGTTATATATTAATGGAAAATATGAAATGATTTAAAAAAAAATGAAATTATATACTTTTTTAATGTACAAAAGGATAATTCATCTCAGAAATTTTATTTATATGAAAAATAACGAAAGATATTTGAATTTCAAAAGAAAAAAATTTCAAATTTTATTTATCTTTTCATTTTAATCAAAATTCCGGATGAAAAAAGAGTCTGAGTGTTCGTTAGAAGTCAGCATTTGATAATTTTTCTTGTTGTCAAGGATATTTATTGTTTTAAATTTCTGTCGTATCAATCAAATTTTACGAGAAGAATATGTTTAAAAATTTTTATTTATGAATCGTTCAAAACGAATTGAAAGTACGTTTTTAAAAATCATTAATGAAAAAAAAAATAAAACGTGACAAAAAATTTTTGTATTTTTTTTTTTTTTTACTAACCGAGCAGAGAGACTTTCAGTTCTGTGTCACTCGATCAAATGGTGTCCAGTGGTCGCTCCATACAAAGGCTAAGGCCTCTGCTGAGTTATACACGGACTTATAATAAATACTGTGAGAATGACATCATTGTTTCTTTAAGTCTTTGTCGTCAAAATACGGATAAAAAATGTCATTAATTTAAAAAAACCCAAAACTTAATTTATAACATTAGGAAACTGACGTGCAAACAACTATAAATAATAATTAAACAGTCCAAATAAAATTATTTTGCCTTCAAGAAAAGTCTGAACTGAAAAATGATGACAGAGAAAAGACAAATTATTTTTTTTTATATGATTTGAGGTTTCGAAAGACAAAATGTAGTTTATTTGAATATTGCAATGGGATTTGTTTCTTTTTATACCAGCAATATTTTAAAGCAATATCCAAAAAATTACTTATTCTTTTTAAATATCATCTATCTATTTATCTATCTATCTATTTATCTATCTATCTATCTATCTAAATTTGTTTTATATTTATTCAAATTCTTTATCTATCTATCTATTTATCTATCTATCTATCTATCTATCTATCTATCTATCTATCTATTCCTTTCTTTCTTTCTTTCTTTCTTTCTTTCTTTATTTATTTATTTATCTGTCTATCTATATATCTATCTAAGCCTGTTTATATTTATTCAGCTCCTCAGGTATATATCTATCTGTAAAGGTTATATTTAGTGCGTACAAGTGTTTGGGTAGAAACCTTTAACCGGCCTTGAAATAATGAGTCTAAATAAAATGCAAAAAGTCCATCCTTTAAATTAATATTCCATCCTTTATAATGATGAAAAATCGATAGGTTTTTAAATTTTTTCATATAAAATAGAAATGTTTACTCAAACACCTGTATCCGTTATCACCCCTCCCCGGCTATGAGTTAAATAACAGATATTGTTAAATATAACATTTCTAGTATCAAGGAATCGATATAAAATGCATCCGTTTCTTAAAAATTCCTATCTATCTATCTATCTATCTATCTATCTATCTATCTATCTATCTATCCTTTTCGGCTTCTCCATTATCTATCTATCTATCTATCTATCTATCTATCTATCTATCTATCTATCTATCTATTTCTTTTTCTATTTCTGTTAATCTCCCTCATTTTCGAAATCTATGTTTGTTAATGTCTATGTCATTGTTTAATTTAATTCCATGTCTTTTTCTGTATGCCAGTTCATACGTAATTCTCATTATGTCTGTCTAAGTCAGTTGATATCTACCTCAATCTGTTCATTTTTGTTTATTCCAATGTAAAAAAATGTTTCATTAAAACGGATCAAAGTCAACATGTAAAAATAAATCAGTGTTATTTTTGAAAATTTATTTATTTCTCTATTGGATGTTGTTTTAAGTCATGGTAATTATGCGTGAAAAAAAAAATATAAAATTTAAATGTCCGCCAAATTTGAAAAAAAAAAAAAAAATTATTAGAATTAAACTTAAATAATTTATTCATTTAAACTCGGCCCAATTTAATGATTGGAACAAAAAAATTTTTTTATCATAGTGTCTGTCATTCATTTTATCTATCTCCCTCTCTCTTTCGAGTTGGGTTCGTTACATTCACTTAGTGAAAATACCATTGGGAAAGTTATGAATTCATCTCCTCTCCATACTATGGGTTAAATAAATTCTCGGATCTTTAAAAACCTATTCTCAAAAAATTTAATGCAATATTCACATATATAAATTTATTAATATATATATATCATATATATATTATATATCTACCGGGTGTAACAGCAAAATTTCCTAAATCGTGTAATAGCAAAATTGTTCAGTTGTTAGATTAAGTTTGAACCGTTGTATCTTAGAAATGATTACAGATATCTTACTGGAATTCTCCTGGGTTTTTATAAGCCTGTTGGACTCTAGTTTGAGTAATAAGAATGTATAATTACTCTCTAAGGTTAACAGAAGAATCGTGATGAAATCGATCATAAACGAAAAAATGACATGTTCATCATTAATTAATCATAGCTAAGGATCGGAAGCTCATGAAGGATTGAAATAAAATTTCATATATATATATATATATATATATATATATATATATATATATATATATATATTTATATATTTTCCAAATTATTTTCAAGATGATCCTCGCCCTCTCTAACCTTCTAACTTTCTGTCCTTGAGTAGCAAGTTGCTTCATAAGTTTCACGTACGATTTCATTTTTAAGTCTGTTTTCCCTGCTCTTTGAACTGTCATAGCTGAAACTTCTCCCTCACGTGCCAAGCGTCTTAAGGATTGAGTTGGATCTTTTCTAATTGATCACTTTAGTTCTAAGTTGAAATGATGATCCCTCTTGTTGTGATCTGTTGATCCACTTTTCCTCTCAACTGTTCCCTCTTTTTTTAAAACTTATTCACCGTTCTCTTGATGGTTCTTGAATGGACTTTGAAGATGGAAGCCAGAGTATGAATGTTGGTACCATTACTGAAGGCCTGAATGATCTTTTTTCCTCTCACCATTGCTCAGTTGGGAAACATAGTGGGGCTGACACAAAAATTTTAACCTGTTCTTTTTCTAGCTGAATAACTCAAAGGGTTTTTTCAGTGATTCTTACGACAAAATGGTGTCAAGATGGCTAAACGTCTTATCTGAAAAACCTGGAAAAAAAAAAAATCAATTAGTTTAGTGTTTTTTTTTTTATTTAAAAAAAACATTTTGTGGGATGGACAATTATGAAATTACATTTTTGTTATAATGATTTTTTTTTGCTGTTACAATATATATATATATATATATATATATATATATATATATATATAAATATATATATATTATTTTATGTATCATCAATATATAGATATTATGAATTATTTTTTAATACTAATCTGGCTTTCTTTTTCTATCAATTTGATATATATATTTTTTTTAGTTCATGTGTATGGAAAAATTTGTTTTTTTTTTTAATTTTTTTTTGTAATTTTTTTCTTTTTTAAATTTTCATTTTATTTTTTATATTTTCTGTTTTTTCCATTGATTTCCATGAAAATTTTCTATAACCAATATTTTTTATTTTTTTTTAATCGTTTTAATTTTTTTTTTTAATTATTTTTTCTTCAAAATTCATAAATTATTTATGTAATGATTTTTTTTTATTTTTTCAAATATAATCCTATTTAAAAAATTTTATTTTATTATTTCTGGCTTTATTACCTAAAAATTTGTCCATTTAATTTATTATAAAAAAAAAAATTTATATATAAACAAAATTTTAAAAATTATAAAAATTTATTCAATTTTAAATTTTTTCTCAATGGATAAAAATTTCTATATTGTATCTAAATAAATATCTATTTCTTTTTTTAATTAGTTTAAAAAAATTCAGCTTCAATCTAATTCTAAACTTTTATCTCTCTCTTTAAATCTCTAAAAGAATTTTATTTAAATCTTTTTATTTCTCAATTATATTTTTTTATTATCTATATTTTTTTATAAAATTCATTTATTTTCTATCTTTTTAAATATCTATCTATATATCTATATGATCTATATATCCTGTTTATTTTTAATTGTTTTATTTTTTTTCAATTTTATCTATCTATCTATCTATATATATATATATATATTTATTATTATATATTTATATTTAAATTAAATATATTATAAATATTTTTCTTATGATTATTTTATATATATCTATTATATATATATATTCTAATTCTATTTATCTTTATATTATATATATATATATATATATGGTTATTTTATATTTATATATATAATAAATAAAAAAATTTAATCTATCTATTTCTAAATTAAATCTGTTTATCATTTATCAATCCATCTCCTCTATTTAAATCTATCTATCTTACTATCTATTCAACTATAATCAATTTAATTTTTCTTTTATTTAAAATTATAAACAATATTATCTATTTTTATCTATCATTTTAATTTTCTTATTTATTCATAATTTTAACTATTATATTTATTTAATTTTTTCAGTTAAATTTAATTTAAAAATCTAATTTATCTATCTTAAATTTTTTTATTTATTCAAATATCTATCTATCTATCCCTTTTATATTTATTCATAAAGAATCTTTTTTCTATCTATTCTTTCTATTTATCTATCTAAATTCAAAAAATTAATCTGTTTATATTTATTCATTTAAATAATCTATTTTCTATCTATCTATCTTTTATATATATATATATATATATATCTTTCTAACCCTATTTATTTTTATTTAGATAATCTATTATATATCTATCTATCTATCTATCTATCTATCTATTTATTTTATTTGA